AACGCTTCATAATGACAGCATATGATGCCATACGTCTCGTTCAGCTTTTCTGGTCTACATTAGGTGCAAAAGAACTAAGAAAAGTTGGAATTTGCTGCTCTTTCCTTCAAAGTAGGCTTTGGTGAATAAGTGCAGAGCTAAATATTTGACAAAGAACAGGCCTATAATACTGAACATAAGTACGTGCGGAGAAAGAAGTTGATAAGTATATATATTATTCAGTAATTTTCTGTTGTTGTTTTTTCGAATAAGACTTCAGTACAAAATTACAATGAAATAATAATGGATATAAGCCCTGGTGGTGATGAGAAGAATTAATAACAAGAAATACAAAGAAAGAATCTCGACAGACATGATAAAACTATATATAAAACGGTGACTGTCTTTATCTGTGAATAGACCTTTATTCAAAATCAAATGCTCCTGCTAATGTTGTAAATTATTAAATTACTGGCCTTCCAATAAAGGTACATTTTAAAGGCTTCTTTTTCTAAAAATATAGTTTAAATAGTTTTTCAAAAACCAAAATACAGATTTAAGTATACATAAATAATTTATATTGGACTAACAAGGGTGTAGGCTGGTGGGGGTCGAACCCCCCACTGGAGATAAGAGTTCATCTTCTCAAACCATAAAAAAAAAAATATATATATATATTTGTTTGTTTGTTTGTTTGTGAATTTCGCGCAAAGCTACACGAGGGCTATCTGCGCTAGCCATCCCTAATTTAGCAGTGTAAGACTACAGAGAAGGCAGCTAGTCATCACCACCCACCGCCAACTCTTGGGCTACTCTTTTACCAACCTCAGATTGCGAGTCGAGCGCCTTATCCACCTGGCCATGCCGGGCCGCTATATATACATATAGAGCCTATTTAACTTGCTATAATCTTCGTAAATAATTATTCTTCATAAACCAAAAAATTTACGTTGGCTCACACTTCAACAATATTTCATATGCTTTCCTCATAGTTACAGCAACATATACAGTTTATTCAGCGTATGGTTTGCATTATTAATATAAAAAAAACAGTTTGTATTAAATAAAACTTACATATGTAAAAGACATTGTATAACAAATAAAATACCAATTACGTCTTCACTATTTTATACTGTTGTAATTATTAACAACAAAGAAATTATAGGCGAGTGTAATTTTTACATCAGTGTAACAACGATGTTCACGTTGTGATTTTTTATTTCAGAAATTAGTGCGATCATTACTAAATATATAAAGTGGTCACGGCAAAAATAATATTCACGAAAGATCTTCATTATAGCGTACCAGCCTCTGCTCCTGAATAATAATAATTGTGAATTGCTATACCAAAATTTAAAATTGCCACGAAAGAAATACAGAAAGTATCTTAAGGCCAAGTAAAATAAATACATGTTTAGCCTTCCCGCCCGCTTCCTTTTTTTTTGCAGCCACCTTTCCCTCAGTTTTTTTTTTTGTTGCGATTTTTTTCCTTTTCTGAATTATCGTTTTTCGATCATACAAAGAAACAAAGAAGACATCTGAATGAAAAATGAGATGAATACAGTTGATTCATTTTTCTTTATTTGTCATAAATTCTGTATCGTTTTGATGAAAAATGAAACAAAGACTTCTGTGTGACATGAACCCTTTGAAAACAAGCAACAGTTATGGAAAAAAGGGTGCAAATTTTCTTTCAAAGAGGTAATTTAAAAAAAAGACAACCTCCTTCGTTTTTGGGAAAAACTCCGGACGCTAAACGTTATTTTTTTTACAATATGTTTTTTTTTATTGCGAGGCATGCTTTTTACTACATTTCTTTCCCGAAAACAACGACAGTTTTCAGTTTTTATCAAGATGTATTAACAACTGAACCAGAATACCAAACCTTTAAAGCAACTTGTTTGCAAAACAATTAAACTTAACTTTGGTTTTCATTCTGTTGTTTATAATCTCCACATACGTTTTTTCATGTAGTCGCTACAAGGATTATGTGGAGTACGAAGTTTACAGTAAAAAAGTTGATGAACAACCATAAAGTTTTAAGACTACTTCTTCACATTTTACATACTTTTTCTTTACTATAATGGACTTTTTTTTTGGAAGAAGAAGAAGAAATAATAAAGATATCGTAGGTTTATGTTTACTAGCTTTGTTATACACACACCTCTTTCAAAATGATTAGAATCTCTTGAACATGTGAAACAGTCCACCCAGTATGGTCTGGGTGAAGGTTCGTGGTTCGCTTCCCTTTGGCATAAAATCCGTGCTCCGCACATTGGGGCCGTAGGTGCACTCTAAGAGTGAACGTTAAATCCAACTGTATGATTAATCTGGCCCAAAAGTTTGCGGTGGGTGTTGTTGGCTAGCTGTCTTCCCTCTAGTATTTCAGTTCAAAATTATTAACGGCTAGCACAGGCAACCCTTGTGTGGCTTTGCACGAATATCCGAAACATGCAAATAATAATTAAAAAAAGACATTTAAGTAGTACCAATATGTTCTTAAATTGCACGAATTCGAGAGAAGAATGACTATAGTCTGCTAGAAATGTGGAAAATCAATATGTGACAGAGCAGCAATGTTTGGACACGTGTGTTCTGTTGCATATTAATTCATTCAACAGAATCAAAAGCTCAATGGTACGTTTACGTAAGTCGAAATTTCTGTTGAAAGGTGCAAGATGTTAACTTGTCAGCTTGCAATATATGAACCGGAAATCAACTTTAGATCAAATACACATTAACTGTACTGTATTCAATGATACCATAAGTAAACGGACGCCCCCTACAAAGTCTGTATAGTGTGGTCTCCTTGATTTCGAGTATTTTGCAAAGACTAGAATACCCTAACCATATGTAGCCCTGAAGAAGATTTCGCATTCGTTTCTAAAGTATAAAGATTTTTATTATAATAACCACATATGGATTCAGGTGACAGACAATAGAATAATTTTACCATCTTTCGTTGCGACGTAGATGTTATGGTATGGGCTGCATTCTGTGCATTAAAAATTTTGTGCGCGTCCTGACCCCTAACACAAAGTATATACGACCCATGCCTGGTTACAAAGTAAAATACCAACGCCTAAGAATGGCGAACTAGGATCCCGGATATTAATCCCGTAAAACTACTTACAAAGTTAAACCGGATATATATTAGGACCTAGTCAAGAACATACATTAAAGATTATAACAGCAATTTTTCACGCACCCATATGTGTTTGTAAGGTGTATGCGTGTTTATCTATATATTAAATATACTAATAAAATGACAAATCAAAAACGTGTCAAACTAACAAACGTGTTTGGTATTTTTATAATGCCATTTCTTATGCTACGTAATATATAAACTGATGATGAACACTAGTGAACTGCGAGTGTTGAGAGTCATAGTTTTGTTTTCTTTTCTTACACGGGAAGTGTGTGATCATAAGTATTTCCATTTTTTCTGAAAATTCAACTTTACTTGTTTGACGTATACAGTGAGATGTAAATCTAAAGTTCTCGCGGATATCACAAAAGAAATTTCAATGTGGACATTAGAGAGAAAGCAGGTTATGTTATACTGATTAAAGATGCGTTCAAACAAATATATGATTATAAAAAGGTATTTATTTGCATGTCTGCTCTAGCGAGACATTTAAAACATAGCAGTAGTTAGGGGCATAATACAAAGGGAAGCTGCGAGCTAACAAAACAAATCATGTAATTGACATGAGGCTAATGATTTGTTTGTTTTTAATTTAAATTTCGCGCAAAGCTAGCCGTCCCTAATTTAGTAGCGTAAGACTAGAGGGAAGGCAGTTAGTCATCACTGCCTTGGGTTACTCTTTTACCAACGAATAGTGGGATTAACTGTAACATTATAACGCCTCCACGGATGGTGTGACGGGGATTCTGACCCGCGACCCGCAACTTGCGAGTCGAGCGCCCTAACCACCTGGCTATGCCGGACATGAGGCTTATGCAAATGTATGCTGCTATATAACGTGACCTTATATAGGTCGAAGTCATGTACCATCGTCAAAACGTATATTTATTTTTCTGTTTGTTCTAGTAACCATTACAAATATTGTTTTTAAGATGGGGATGTTGCAGTCATTTAAGATAGAAATTCTGTCGTTGTCATGGTAGTAACTTAAACGCTCAACAAACACTTAATGAGCCATGGTATTGGACGAATGGCCTCGTCGGCAGTGAATATGGCGGGTATAATATGGTTGACATAGTATTACATATTGTTTTTTTTGCTTTCAGTAAGTTCTTAGAATAATTATTAATCAGTTACTAATACATTAATTATGCATTGGTTACTAATATATTTGTAACTTATTAACAGTTGGACTCATGTGATCGTGTAAACTATGCTAATTAAGACAACGATTGACAATCATATTCTATCGCCACATATCGTAAGTACACAAAAATTTCAGACAGCCGTTCACTAATTTATAGGAAAATTAATAAATAAGATAACACCGATACATTCATTGATACACATACAATAGAGAAGGTGTCATTCGCATTACGCCTGGTATTGAAATCATTATAATACAGTAACTAGAAGCCATTAGATAAGAGGAAATTTGTTTAGCATGTTTTTGACATTTTCTTTTCGTGAACTAGTCATATTATTTTGAAACTTCTAGTGCCAATAGAAGGTGAAACGACTACTTTTCTTCCATTGTTGTTATCGCTCCATCTTATTTTTTTGTCTTCCCATTTTAGTGCGAATGACATGGCTGATTTGGATTCTATTTGAAATGTTTAGCTTATTCCAACAGTTACTAGCAGAGACCTTAATCGTGCGTGACAGCCTCCCTACTCCTTTGTCGTGAGTAGTTATCTGGTGAAATAAGAATAATTCTCTGCTCTTACGGAATAAAACAGGATAACCAACGTATTATTTTGCGACTGGAAAGTCGAGTTATATTTCTCAATATACAACACTAGTTTTAAGATGTATTTGGTTACTGAAATTATTTAGGGATTTATGGTATCTTGAAACGATTTCACTTACTAACCATCAAATCTAGCCTTCGCATCCCTGTCCTTGGCCTCTTCTTCGTGGTTCTTTGCTGCGTGACCTTTTCCTCCCTCTGCAGTCCGTGTCTCCGAAGCCTTCTCCAACGCTGCGCATGCACGAAGCACATAAACGTTTACTTGCTCATGCAGCTCCTGTTTGGGTATTTCCAAAAGTCTCCAATACTGAGCATCCAGTTGCACGACATCTTTTATCATGCGTTTCAGCGTTGCGTAACGTTGTAATATATTCCGTTCTCCTTTGGAAGTTTCGTATCTTTCGTGCATCGTCGTCAACGATAATTTTACTTTGTTGTATGATTCGCCGATCTTGTTTGTTACACTTCTGAGACGCTCGTTCGTTAATATAGCACCCTCTCGTGCATTATCTGAAAAAAAAAAAGATTTATTAGTGATATGGCAAATAATAATGTAATTAGAAATGTTACAATTTTTTCCACATGAAGTGTATTTGATATTTTCAGCTGACGCCAACATATATGGACTGTTCGATGAATCAGATAATTAGTAAATTCAGTCTTAGAAGTATAGGACTCCTTCTGCAGACTGACGGATCAATGTTTAAACCTAGTTATATTTATTCTTTATACATTACTCTCAAGAGCAAAACATGCACTTCGAATTCTTGTAAGCTACATTTTAATGTTTTGATTTAGATGTTTTTTCTAGTTGTAAATGAGATAGTAAACTGTCCCTATGTGAGGATTTTACATCAAACTTCCTACATTATGCCTCAATAGTGACTACTTCTGATATTTTTTTATGTATAAGTACTACCGGTACAGCTTCACATCTTGCAATGTCTCGTCCAGATTTGGCTTGAATTTTGTTTGTTGTGCTCATGGCTCTAATGATGACATCTTTATTATTCACATCTGCGACAGTTCTTACAACCATTAATACATGCTGAAGTATTTGTTTGTACTCTGGCTCACTCACCACTCGTGAATTTATTTGTAATTAGTCCTAGTATGAATATTTCATTTTATGGTGGTACAACCACTGTTCTCCTTTTTCCACTGGAAACTCAATCTCTACTGCCCCGGTAATATTTGGGAATAATAATAGTAATAATAATAATTTACTCTTGCCTCTATTCAGTTTGTTTTACAAACCATATATTGTTTTTGACTTTGGTGACTGGCGGGGCCCTAGGTGGCCTTTGCGTTACTCCGGTATTGACTGTCACGTGGTGCACAGAATTTCCTGATCATAGCCTGCGAAGCTATATGAAACTAGCCTAACCTCACGCCCATGCTTCCACATGCAGTTAGTTCCCAAAATGCACTCTTCGTCAATGCCAGTCACCCACATATAATGAGATGAAGAGAAGTAATGGCTGGAGACGGCTTGAATGGGTAATGAAGAAAAACTTTAATATAAGTTTAACATAACAGCAAATGTACAACGTTTCGACAAGGTTTTGCCATCACGACATTCTGATGCGTTACTCTAAACCTGTTGTGTAAGGCAATTAACAAATGTTTGATAGTTGTTAAGTCGTCAGTAAGCTATTCAATATTCCACTTGTTCACTCTGCAAATTATTTTGAATTGTGCCTGTTATTCCTCCCACGGTGTCTTGCCATCATAGTCTATTGGTTTCTCAATTAGATGATGTTGTTGAAGTAGCCAACTAAATTCTTGAACTGGATTTTATATTGAAATAGCTGGAGTAGTCCAAGAAAGTCCTGCAGTAACAGATAGCACAGCAGTTGCAGTTGTGGTAATAGATGTAGATCAAACAAATTTTCCTATTCCATAGTTTGTAGTAGATGGTGTTCTAGGCTGGAATTCTTGGACAGATACAAAAAGAGATGTGTTTGGTTTAATCTTTCCATTTACCAACTTTCTGTTTGTACTTCTTTAATTTTATCAATCAAGTCCTTATTTTGGTGAAAATAAAATAGAACTTTAACTAAACTTAAACTTCAACTGTTTAAGATGAGAAGATAGCTACCTTATCCCGTGGACCTCGTAGCTTGTGGTGAATAATGAAATACACAATAAGACTGATAATGGAGATGCAGCTCCAATATGTCATTTGGCCAGGCAACTCCCTCTTGCAAAACAGGCTGAGGTTTTCAAACAGGTAGAAACTATTAAGAAAGAAGGAGTAATAGAAACTAGTACTAGTCCACGAGCATCACCTATTGTACTTGTGAAGAAAAAGAAGGATATGTCCACGAGGTTCTGTGTGGAAGGTGAACGAAGTCACAAAGAAGGATGCATACACTCTGCCAAGATTTACTATATTTGGATGCTTTATCTGAACCAAAATAATTTTCATCATTGGATCTTAAGAGTGGATATTGGCAAGTACAAGTCGACGAAGCAAGTAGAGATAAAAGAGCCTTTGCTGCAGGCAATACACTGTGACAAGTTGTTTTGTTAATATTTTTATTGTATAATGCACCTGGTACACTTCAATGATTAATGGAGTGTGCTCTTTCTGAATTACCCTAGAATGTCTTAATCATCTACTTGGATAAGATAATCACACATGGGAAGACCTTTGATAATGCTTATGATTGGCTAAGGAAAGTTCTAGATACATCCCACGAAGTATGAATTGTTTCATCAACATTTAAGTTTCCTTGGACACATATTTGGCAGACAGGGAGTGTCTACAAACCTATTTAATACCGAATTTGTTCAGAATTGGTCAACACTAAGGAACATCCATTAAGTAAGAGGGTTTTTGGACTACACTCTTATTATTGCTGTTTTTATTTATCATTCTCTGACTTAGTTTGCCCTCTACACAAATTAGTTAAAAAACGAAATAAGTTTTGTTCAACTGCTGATTGTGAGCACGCATTCAATAAACTGAGGACTAATAAGACCGAATTCCATCGAGATGACAGTATATACGAATTTACAATTTCCACCACAAGATAGGGCGTTATAAATGTGAATAATCAGTGATAATTGAGTTAATTCGATGTTAAAAGTGGGAGTTTTCACGACTATTCTGCTATTCAGTCACTCAGTAAGTTAACATGTTCGTTTATTAAATAAGTTACATACCATTAAACTCAGAATTTTTGTTGAAACGTTGTACTTGAAGTTAGGACTATATTAATTTCGGATTTTATTTTGCAAAGTTTATTTATTAAATTAGGCTAACATGTGAACGTGATTGTAGCAAACATGTATTGAATAAATAAATAAATTCATTAAGATTAAGTAGATTGGACTTGGCATTGTTTTTACCAAATAATCAAAAACCAAAAATCAAAAACGACCCGCCCAATAATATAAAACCTTACAAAAATACAATGGATTTATATCTAGTACTGGTTATAGAATTTGCAGCTATATGTAATAATTTGCTAACTTTACACTTAAGCAAATTTGGAAATAAAGTAATTTTGAGGAAAAAAAAAACACTTAGAAAAACAATTCAAAATCTTAATATTTTCCAGAAAGAAAATGAGAACTAAATCCTTCAGTTTTGTTAAAGTTTGACGTCTAAACACAGTTTGATGAGCGACAGTCTTAATTAATCACTTCTGATTAATGTAGAGAAGTATTATATCCGTAAAGAGAGAATATGGTAAAACAAAAAACTGGAACTGTTAATGAAGCGGAAAGTACACAGGTTGGAGTTGCCTGATACCTCATATTCTGGATCATACAATAATATGTCACTCGTTAATACCGCACAGTCTTTACTTACCTAAATAAACCGATCGATAATTCCCTCTTCAACGCTCATGATCAATTGTTCCTTCAACATATCGAGTCTCAGAAAACACAATAATGAAATTTGTTAGCAGACTAGAGTAAATAACTTAATGAAGACCTACAACTTATGTCAGTACGAAACGATAACCATAACAAGCTAATTTGATTATATTCTCTTGATCTAGTTGGCCTGGTTACTTAAAAAAACAAGAAGAAGGAAACAGCTCTCCATCTAAACTATGTTCTTCAAAAGAAACCTTTGAATTGTCAGTCTTGCCTATGATAATAGTGTTTTCATTATATTACCTAAAGAACTACAAGTAAATAGTGTAGATTTCGTAAAATGGTCTAGCCAAAACATTTTGAAAAAGAAGAAAGTCAGAACAAATATTTTGACATATTTTCTCTATCTAGAAATTAATTCATAAAATGCGCAAATTCTTTAAAGCCTTCTTCATCAAAGTTTTCATGGTTTCTGGCCAAATTTCTCTCCAAAAAATGGTGAAACGATATAAAATTGTGATAATATTTGATCTTGTCCATCTTATAACGCTAGAAACGGGGTTTCGATACCCGTGGTTGGCACAGCACAGATAGTCCATTGCGTAGTTTTGTACATAACTACAAACAAACAAATTGTTTTTAGGAGATATGTAGCAAGCAATCGATCGAAAGAGTTTCACGACTAGAATAATTTTGTAGTTACTTCTATCGAGAGTCACGAAGTAAAAACTAGGCAAATAACGAGTGTATTTAGCTATTTTCCCCGTCACACCGAACATGCTCGCCCTTTTAGCCGTGGGGGCGTTATAATGTGACGGTCAAGCCCACTATTCGTTGGTAAAAGAGTAGCCCAAGAGTTGGCGGTGGGTGGTGATGACTAGCTGCCTTCCCTCTAGTCTTACACTGCTAAATAGGGACGGCTAGCGCAGATAGCCCTCGTGTAGCTTTGCGCGAAATTCAAAAACCAAACCAAAAACCAAATTTAGCTATTTCTACTTGCAAATCAGTCTAATTATCGATAAAAGTTATTAAGCACATAAACACTATATGCATGCACATATAGGTACTGCTTTGAATAAAAGACTAGAAGAAACACTCGCTTCTAAAGATAAAATAACATTTTTAACATAAAAAAATAAACGAAAACAAATACTGATTATCTTTCTGTATTTAAACCGAATTTTACTAGCTTTTTTTTTAGGTACCTGTTCATTTGTACATAATATTAGTAAATGAGTTTAAATAAATGTTTTCTATCCTTATATTACGTTGCTTGTTATCCTTCAACTATAAAACAATTAAGTGTGGGAGCCACTGTCACCATTTATTGGAGAGTTTCCGTTTATCTTTTTTATTTATATTTGTTATCACTAAAACTTATATTGCCTAAGATTTTTTTTTAATGATTGCATTAGAGCTAATGTGAAGTTTACTCTTTAAATTAGTATTAGATAAGACTAGGTTGTAAGTAAAAAACAAACAAACACAAGGTAAACCAAATAACAGTTGTCCAAATGATGTACGAACATGTTAAGGTTTTGACAATAAACCTGACGCTAAGAATTTATAATAATATCATAATCAGGACCAGTTTTTGTTCTTTGTAATGATCTAAAAGTAAGCGTAAAAGAGCGTAAATACTCATTCTTTTCGTAATCTTGGAATAAATTTCACTAATAATTTACAAGGCAAGTTACTTGTACAAAGTTCAAGCTTTGTATTTCATGTTTTAGAATTCAAATTGCGAAAAGCGCAGCTAAGTTAGTTTATAAGATGTTTTTCTCCGATTTTAGTGAGGTTGTTTAGATTTCTGAAAGGTCGGTTGAACATGTCGTTTAAAGGATACCCCTTTAGATTAGTGCATTCCAAATATTTCTCATAGTTATATATTTCTTAAATAATTAGAAGGAAAAACCTACTCCCTAGAGTATATATATATAAATTTTTAACTAAGTAGTAAAAAAATGATTAACGATTATTTTCCTGAATTGTTCTAAGAGGGATCTCTAATGTTTAATGTCTGACGTAGTTTAAAAAAATGGAAGGTACTTGGATATATAAGATTTTTTTTTTTTATAGAAGCGGACAATATGACTTATAATGATGGTTCTTAAGATGAATTTCGATATATGAAAAAACAAAATTATACAA